ACTCGTCCGCTCGCTTTGTGTGTGGTGGCGCGTTCCAATCCAGCAAGCGGGTTCTTGATACCGTCCACCACACCGCCATTCGTATTGTCACTGGGGCGCTCCGCACATCACCTTCCGTCAGCCTTTTAACGGAGGCACACGAGCCACCACTTTCGACGAGGAGGAACATGCTCGGCATACGTTATGTCTTGAAGCTGCGGCATTTCCCACTTCATCCGACATATTCTGCAGTATTTTCTCGGTTTGCCGTAAGTTCCCTTCATCATGAGCTGCAGCAGCACGCTTTAACTTTTGGTTTCCGATGAGAACCTTATTGCTCGAGGGCAGAATTCCACTTCGAGGTGTAAAACAAGCCACCTTACTTCTCCTCCTTGGCAAGTGACCATACCCTTCATTGACACCTCGCCTACAGAAATTAGGAAAAAAGACGTCACACCACACCTAATGAGGTCCAGGGCAATTGAGCTTCTGGCGCGTAATGGAGGATACACTCTGACGTACACAGACGGATCCAAAACCTCGGATGGCGTGGGTTGTGCTTTCGTCAGCGGTTCCGTCACTCGATCGTTCTCGTTACCGGCCCACTCGTCAGTTTTCACAGCGGAATTAATTGCAATCACCAAGGCGATATGTTTCATAGAAGTTGGTGAATAATTTCATACGCCATTTTGACAGATTCACTGAGCAGTCTTTTAATCCGTCATGTCCCCTTATACAGGACATTTTATCATGCCTGACACAGTTGAATCGGGCTGGACAGAGAGTTGCCCTGTGCTGGATCCCCAGTCACGTCGGTATCATGGGCAACGAGTTGGCTGATGTCGCTGCTAAGCGAGCGGCGGTGGCACCACATGCACGGTTTTTGCCTATCCCTGCCAGAGATTTCTACCCGGCATTCAAGACCTTCCTGAGAAGCAGATTGCAGCGTTGTTGGGACCAGGTGGGCGGCAATAAGCTCAGGGCGATAAAAACCGAGTTGGGCTTGTGGTCGTCATGCTCTCACAGTATGCGTTGGGAAGAAGTGGCTTTATCTAGATTGCGTATTGGGCATACGTATGCCAGCCATGGCCATCTGTTGCATGGGGCCGACAGACCCCTATGCCAGCGGTGTGGTGCCGTTCTCATTGTCTGCCATGTCATTGTATCATGTCCGTGTCTCATCGAAGAACGACGACGTCACCTTGGTCCGCATGCTTTGCCCCCTGACGATTAGCAATGTGCTCGGGGACAGTCCCCCCTTTCTTGATTCCGAACATCTCTTTTCTTTCTTAAAAGATATTGATTTTCAAGTCATTTTCACACCATACAAATTAAGTAAAAGCATCGTATGGGCGCAAAATGACCATTGAAGTCGACACGCCCGAAAACACCAATAAACAACAACAAAGGGGCCCCCCTGAAAAGAACAGAACACTGCGGAGCGCATTATTGATTCTAGTCAGGGGATGAAAGGCCATTGTGTCCCACCGCGGTGTGTCTTCCGGTCGTCATCCTGGCGACACGAGGCGCGATCCCCTGGCCGACCCAGAGTCCGTTAGAGGGATACATTATATCACATTGGTCCGCTCCCTGACGAGGGAGGCCTTCCTACCCACGGAGTTGACCCCGGATCGACGCAGGAACCCGCATTGATCCAACAACATCCCTGATCGCCGCAGGTGGTGAAATAATTGGCACATATACTCCAGTTCGGCTTAACGGGCCTATGCCGCAATTTTAGTTATCATTTTATTGTGCCGCAAGTTGACGGGTCCTCCGGGCCGTCAACCGTTGATTAACTTAACTTTTAACTTAACTTTGGGCCGTTAAGTCGATGCACGTAAGGAGGTACGCGTGACCACCCGACGGGAGCAGTGGGCCGACAATGTTGATGTGGACGGCGTCAAGCCAAGCGTCCGGTAGCGTGAAACAATGTGGTGGTGCCCGTGTGTGCCGACGAATCTTCGCACGTTGACATGAGGTGCATGCCCGTGTCCACTCCTTGATGTCTCGGCGCATAGAAAGCCATGCAAAACGCTGGGTGACGAGTTCTTGTGTGCCCCGAACTCCCAGGTGTGCCAGTCCGTGCCGAAGCCGGAAGTACTGCCGACGGAGGCTTTCTGGTACTAGAGGACGGGCCTGACCGCAGATTCATCCACCACGAGCGTGCGGCCACTTGCCGGCAGGCCATTCCGCAGGGCCAGTGAGTGCGATGAGTTCATGAAGGTTTGAAGGTCATCATCCTGCCCTTGAGCGTCCGCGAGGGTGTCCAGGTCATCCAGCGGGGGCTGCGGTGCCTGCAGCATGGCGATCGTCCGTGAAAGTGCGTCAGCCACAGTGCTCTCCTTCCCTGGTACGTGTCTGACGTCAGTGGAGAACTACCCGATGAAGTCGAGGTGCCGGACCTCCCTGGGCGAGTAACGGTCAGAGTTTGACCCGATCGCGGACACCAGGGACTTGTGATCCGTGAAGATGGCAAAGTTCCGACCATCGACGCTGTGCCGGAAGTGCCGGATCGCCAGGTACACGGCAGGGAGTTCTCGGCCGAAGGTGCTGTGCCGGAAGCGCCGGATCGCCAGGTACACGGCAAGGAGTTCTCGGCCGAAGGTGCTGTGCCCGAAGTGCCGGATCGCCAGGTACACGGCAAGGAGTTCTCGGCCGAAGGTGCTGTACCGAGTCTCCGCCGGCTTAGGGCTCTTCGAGAAGAACGACAGCGGCTCCCAACGGCCAGCCACGAGCAGCTGGAGAACCGCTCCGATGCCAGTGTCTGAAGCGTCGACCTGTAGACTTAGGAGTGCACCCGGTGTCGGGTGCGCGAGTTGGGTAGTCTGCGCCAACTGCTGCTTGAATCGACGAAACGCTTGCCAAGAGTCGGCGGACCAGGTGATGGGGCGGTGGCTCTTCGAAGTTTTCTTGCTGAGCAGACTGGTGAGTGAGGCCAGTAGAGCAGCGGCGTCGGGCACAAAGCGATGATAATACGCCGCCATTCCGATGAAATGCCGGAGCTGGCTCTCCGTAGTTGGATGCGGAAAATCCTGCACCGCAGATATTTTGTCTCGAAGGGGGGCGACGCCGAGCGCAGGGACTTTATGGCCAAGGAACTGGACTTTCCCGGTCCCGAACACACCTTTATTTTCATTGATGACCAGCCCAACCCTGTCAAGTCGCTCGAGGACCATTTGAAGGTGTTCGAGATGCTCGTACTCCGACTTGCTGGCAACCAGAATGTCGTCTAAGCAGACAAATGTCCCTGGCACTCCATGCAGCACTTCATCCATGAATCGTTGGAAGGTTTGGCTGGCATTACGTAGACCGAATGGCCGTTGGATCATCTCGAAAAGACCGAATGGCGTTGTGATGGCAGTCTTCGGCACATCCGATGGCTCCACCGGGATCTGGTTATATGTGCGGACCAGGTCTAGCTTGGAAAAAAACCTTGCAGCCGTAGAGGTGACCGGCAAAGTTCTGCAGGTAAGGTACCGAATATTGGTCCGGAACGGTGGCAGCGTTCAGCGCCCGGTAGTCAGCACAGGGGCGCCACTCTCCTGTAGTGGATTTCGGGACCAGGTGCAAAAGTGAGGCCCAGCTGCTCTTGGATGTCCTCAGGACGCCGAGCTTGCGCAGTTTGTTTAACTCCTCTCGAACGATTTCAAAGCGATCCGGGGCAAAGCGCCGTGGTCGCGCGACACACGGCGGTCCAGTTGTGATAATGTGGCGCACTGGAGCAGGACTCGTCAGCGGTTTGGTCACCCGCGGAAACTGTCGAAGCAGCGAGGTGTAGGAAGAATCCTCAGGCGCCACACTGGAGACGGCTCTCAGTCCCAATGAGCGGATGATGGCCGGAGTACCATGGGCACAAACCTGGCCTGATGCATCCCGCAAGACCTGGAGGCCCATGTCAACCGCCAGCTGGTGATGTGCAAGGTCTGCGCCCAGAATCGGAGTGGCGACCGGCTCACAGCCTTTTCCAATCGCCGATTCGACATCTCCAATCTGCTAACCACGGCTGTCAGGCTGGCGATGGCGTCGTGCAGGTCCGTATGATCGGTGGACAGCGACGTGGGTGGCTGTGCGTCGGTTTGCAACACCAACAGGGCGGAGACGGCTGCGGCTGCGGGGCGCTAAGCGTCGAGCAAACGATCGGCAGCCTGAGCCAGATCATCTGAGGACGTTGACTCTGGCAGCACAGCGAGAGCTGCTTGGGCCGTTTGGGGAAGTCGTTGCAGAAACAACATTCTCAAAAGGCCGCTGTCAGTCGTGGCATCACCGGTCGCCAAATGTCCACGCATGTTGCGTAGAAACTGGGATGGAGCCTGGTCCCCGAGCTGTTAATGGCGTAAGAGGGCCCCCAGACGGCTGGCACGGGACATGGCCAATTGCTGATGCAACACTTCGCAGAGGGCCGTGTAGTCTCCGGCTTGTCCGATGATGACATCGCGAACCTGCACAGCCACGGACATCGGAAGACTCGCGACAAGCAGTTTGAATTTGGAGGCGGGATCTTCGATTCCGGAAATGTCGAGGGCGCAGTTGACTTGTGTGAGCCACAGCTGTTTCTTCAGCCGACAAGGCAAGAAGTCGAAAAGACGCAAACGGTGCGGCGCCCCCAGGCGTTCCGTGGTCCATTGCCGCACTGTCTGGTTTGCGTTCGGGCATCTTCAGTTGACGCGTCGGTGGATCACGTCGGTGTCACCAATATCGCGCACGTCACTGTCTTCGGTGACGAAAGAGAAAAAGTGCCAGTAGTCGCCCCTTGTTTTCTTCAGTTGACAACCCAAGCCCCCGTGCAGTGTGAAACAACCGTAATCACCCGCACCTCAGGACTCGGGCTGCCAACCAGCTGGTTGCGGCCGAGTGGCCGGGACTGGCACGGCTGCGTTGATCGTGCTGGTCCAGTTTGTAACATCAGTGCCGGCATCGAGGTGATGCCGGCCCGGACTGACAGACAGGAAAGCGCGTCCAGAGAGGGACGAATCACGAAGAGTGCGCACTGCACTGTCAGGTTGCACTGCACTGCGCTGTCAGGTTGCGCACAATATATTATCGATATGGCTCGGTTCGACTACATCATTTGACGGCAGCAAACATCTGCCTAGTTATGGTAGTCAATATGCCATAAGCGGCCAAACAATAGCTATACTAGCAACCGTTCTGTGATAGGCATATCACTCATATCATTACCCAACATTAACAGTGCAGCGAAGCTATGCAGACACACACAGTTCTCCCACGACGCACCATGTCACACGCCAAACAACATTCGTTAGCGCCACCTATTGGTGACCCGTACGACGGAGTGTCGACCCCGTGCCTCTACAATGCAACTCATTTTCAGCACAAAAAGATCGGCTATTCTATTGGCTACATGTATAGTAAATAACTAATACGATTACAGACGGCGAATTCACCAAAAAGATAAGCCTGCATGACAGCTCACTTCTGGGGAGTTATATTCCATGATACCCATAGGCTTCCATTAGCTACGTCTACAGAAAAAATATCGCAGCTAGGCCCCACAGTTGGGGTTATTTTGAGAAAAAAAAACATTCCAGGGGTTAATTTGACCCTACACCAAACGCATGTCGCGACATGTAGATGACCTTCTACCGATGGGTCAAGTTAATAGTTTCTCCTTGGTATGTGTCCGAACGTGGACCGTAAGATTCCCGTTCAGCTTGAACGCCTTCCCACAGACACCACAAATAAACGGTTTTTCACCTGTGTGAGTCCGGAGATGTTGAGTTAGTCTCCCATGTACAATGAAGGCCTTCCCACAGACCTCACACCTAAACGGTTTTTCACCTGAGTGGGTCCGGAGGTGGTAAGTAAAACTCCCCTGTAGTCTGAAGGACTTCCCACAGAACTCACAACTGAACGGTTTTTCACCTGTGTGAGTCCGGAGGTGGTAAGTAAGAGTACCATATTGACTGAACGCCTTCCCACAGAACTCACAACTGAACGGTTTTTCACCTGTGTGAGTGCGGAGGTGGTGAGTAAGGCCTCCCCGTAGACTGAACGCCTTCCCACACAAATCACAAATGAACGGTTTTTCACCTGTGTGAGTCCGGAGGTGGTCAGTAAGGCCCCCCCGTAGACTGAACGCCTTCCCACAAAAATCACAAATGAATGGTTTTTCACCTGTGTGAGCCCGGAGGTGGTAAGTGAGGCTCCCCCGTAGACTGAACGCCTTCCCACAAAAATCACAACTGAACGGTTTTTCACCTGTGTGAGTCCGGAGATGGCGAGTAAGGCTCCCAAATTGACCGAACGCTTTCCCACAGACCTCACAACTAAACGGTTTTTCACCCGTGTGAGTACGGAGGTGGTTATCCAGGGTTTGATGCCGACTGAACGCCTTCCCACAGACCTCACACCGGAACGGATTTTCACCTGTGTGAGTACGGAGGTGCCGATTAAGCTGCCCAGGTCGACTGAACAGCTTCCCACAGATCTCACAATTGGAAAGCTTCTCACCAGTGTGCGTCCGACTATGTTCGGTCAAACTACGACGGCATCTCAGTAACTCCCCACAGACTTTGCACCTGAGCGGTTTGCTGTCGACGTGGTTCCCGTGATCAGTTGGCTTCCGGACTGTGTGAATCTGAGCATGCAACGCGGTGGTATCGCTTCGCTCGAACAAAATGTTGCAAAATGTTGACCTCATCGAGCGGTCGGACTTTTCAGCCTGACTTTGCACGCAATGCTTGCTTGAAACAATCCGCTGATCCGGAAAGGCCGAGCCATGCGACCTGTCTTGGTGCTGGCATTTTACTTGCTCTGAGACACCATCTTGATCGGAACGTTCGAACTTGCAGTATTCACAACACAAGAAAACAGCATCTGAAAACACAGGCCTAGTGTTAAACCAAGAGCGCCGACTTCCGCCACTCCCTCAGGTGCGTTACTAACGTACACCTAATGGAGGGCATACAACGTTGCATGGCCGTGCCATCAAGCACGGACACAATCACGGCATCTTGAACAAATTTTGACTTTTCGTAGAGGCCACTGCACCCTTGTACAAAAGCTAACCTGAATTCTTTACCTGTTGCGTGTACCCATATGCTGCGAGGTACTGCCAGATAGAACACTGCTGTAAAAACCTAAAAAATAACCTATACCATTTATGTCGCTAATATACATCATGCAAATTCAACCTTGGTATAACCGAATGGCTATTTTTTTTGGCTCTGAAAATCTCTTACGGTCTCTGCAATGCTGTAATGACAGTATTCTTATACCTTATCGTATAGTAGACTGTTAAACATAAAACTTGTAAAACGGAATGTAACATACCTGTTCAGGGACCCATTCTTAATACCATGTCTACCAAAAAGGCATACATACCGGATGGTTTCTATGTGAGTTGCACACTCCAGACAGACCACGCGGACACGTGAATACCTCTTTAAACAGCGGCCGAATGATAAGCGGTTCGGGTAAGCTGCCCCACAGTAGTTGGGACTTCAGGCCGAGGAACAGGTGGCTCATTCCAATGGAAAAGCTAGCGGCCGAACTAAGAGTCATTTTCAGGGTAATTCCAACCACTTCAGAGCAGTGAACTTCTGAAGACTTCAAATCCTTTCGAGCCCGAGCTCGGCGCTTTTTCAGGCCTCATTTTAAGCCCACTAGAGCTTATGACACTATAGAAACAAACCTATTGGACGTCCTCAACGGCCATACTATATTCAGGGGCAAGACAAATTTTACAGTGACCTATTCGTCGCTGGAGTACGTCAGCACGAATCGTGACATCAACGGGCAGCAATCGCCGCATCAACGGACTATGGTAAGGACGCATACCTGCCGTGCGAGATGAGAAGCCATCAGCTTCTTTCAGTAGATCCTCATCTGAAGCCGACAATGCCAAAGGATCGGGCTTGATATCATGAGGAGCGTCTGAAAAAGTAGCATTATGGGTGACCGCAAATCATGTGTGGCACATATTTTGCAGTCATTTCGGCTGGACCGGGGGACTGAGAGACAGCCTCTGCCTTCATGAAGAGCGCAAGCGAATGGTGGATTGCCAACGCAATTAAAAAGGACTGACTGCGTACGGCCCCAATAACAGGTAGTTGCCATCTCTGACGGTGTTCCGTTCGCCAAGAGAAAAATAGGGCGTAGTTCTCCTTCACTGTGATGCTGATGCCGTTCCAAACGACCGCTTTTCAAAACCTCATCTTAAATCGTACCTAATACCCCAGCCGAGCCACCAACAGCGCTGACGACGCCCAGTCGTGGAGATGACGATGCCGGCGGATCAGGCTTGACATCATGCGCGACATCAGGACCTGCAGGAGTGTTCGGAGTAAGCGACAGTCAAAATGGTCCTACGATCAATAGTTCTGTTAGCGCGACGAAGGGAAGATGAAAACGTGTAAACATTTACGTGCCTTGAAGGGTCGGGCGTGCATTATTTGAAGTCAGGTTGATTTTTGACCTAGCCAGGTCTTGACGTATCCGTTCCATTTGTTGTCCGAGTCCACCTTTGCAAAATACATCAAAGACGCTAAATTTTCTTCACTTTAATTTGCATGACAACTATGGGGCACAAAAGTCCTTTCCTCGGATTTACCAGGAAATGCTCGGAGACTAGTGACTAAGAGCGGGTGGAAAGGGAGGACGTGGAGGAAGCGAGGTCTGCCTACTTCACAGTAAAAACAATCGCCAGATGGACTGCGTTGCTGCGGACTGCGTTGCAGGCATGTTGGGACATGCAGCTGTGCCAGCATACTGCAAGCCACAAATAAAGTTGTTTTGAAAGGCATGATATTCTGACGGTAAGATGATAGCATGTCCCTATAATACTCCTGTTTGTAGGTTTTTACATGCCAATAAAACGTAAATTTAATCAAACTTTAGCCTTCCAGCGTCAATTGACATCAATACGGACGATGAGAACTTGGACCACTCCGATCAATCACAAACGTTTGCTTCTTTTCACGTGGAGTCTGCGCCGGAAGCTGCGCGCTTGCCCCGCCCTTGGTGCGATAGCCATGCTGCACTCAGCGGAAAACTTCTCCCAGTCGGCCCTTCGAGGATCCCAACGAGGCGGCCTGAGTCCCGACCAGCGAACGTCTCAAGTAACGCAGATGGGGAAGTGGTCACTTCCGCTCGGGCAGTGGTCTTCCTCCCGGAAAAGGGTGTAGCGTGTGATAAAGTGCGTGCGGAGAGGCCGATGACAGAGATGTTACTGTAATGTGCGTATTGCGTCGAGTGTGAAGCACACGCCAACCGTTTAAACAAGGAGTCGGCTCCCATCATTCCGCCCGACGGCTGGACCTCACGACGGACGGTTTCAGCGGATTTTGACCCCACACTGGGACAAGACCTGGGAGTGCCGCCTTCCCTGGGCGCCGCAGGCCAGGGTGGAGCCCGCTTCGCGCCGCAGCCGGCAGGGGACGGACTGATGTCCACCTACAGCTTTCGGCAGCGGCGTTCGGGGCGGGCACATGGCCCACTGACGTAAGGGGCTGAGTCGACGAGGGACTGAAAGAGGACCACCCTTTTGCATGATCATTGCAGCACTCAGTACTTTTCTCACCAACTACGAAATGGTGGTGCCTCACGTGAAGCCTATTGCATAGGCAGATGACCGTCTTAAAACGTGGGAATGCCCGAAACAATATTGCAACCGATTCTTTCCATGCGTCGCCACCGCTTAAGAGGAAGGGCAGGGCTCTCACACGAATGCAAATAGAAACCAGTTCCGTTTTGTGCAATTTTTGTCATCAACCATCTTTGTAGACTCGTGAACTCCACACTCCACACAAGACTCCACACCGGACTCCACCCCACACACTCTGCGGACTCAACACTCAACACGCGCTGCGGCAAGCCGCGGCAATCGAAGCATAACAGAGTTTCTTCAGAACATCACGCACCCATTGATTTACTTTATACACATTCAAGCGCCATTTCAGCAATTCATTTAACAGGGCTCAATGGAACTGGCTGTTCTCCAGTTATACCTAACGACACGTTCCGCACCCGAGTTTAGAAGATCGTCGCTACGAATGTGAGCACGCATGTAAATCGTAGCAAAACACCTTTCCGCAGTCACAGCATCTAAACGATTACCATCGGTGTTAACAAACGTGCACTGCAAGAGTGTTCCTTCGACTGAACGACCTCCCGCGGACATAACAGCTGCAAACCGTGTCGCCGCGCCTTGTAAACGAAAGCTGCAACTTTGGTCTATATGTCTACTTTGGTCTCGTTATTTCCGTCATTATTTAACCATCTAAACGCCCAGGCCCAGGCCCGCCTGGGCACGTGCAACACGCGATGTGGTGCCTTTCCCGCCAAGCCATGACTCCGTCACTGTTACAGATAACTGCCTGAAACTGGGTTCAGGCACCATGGATAGTCCCATCTAAGACGCCTTTCAATTATTCATCCCTTCCAGCCTGCGACCAACAAGTGTTTAATAGACTTAAATGTTTTTGTTACTTGACACGCCAATATTACAATGCCCAAACTACACAACAAAGTGGATGGATTATGGTCTAATTTGCTCACAATTCTCGTTTATAAATATCAAATATGTTCTTTCATTCGGCTTCCATGCCAATCTATCAACGGCTACGCGCTTTTGACAAAACATTAACAAACAAGACGTGCTTGTGACGTCACTAACACTTGGTTTATTATGGTCTTCTAGTTATCATTTTCGTAAAACGCAAAGAAGTCATCAATTCGCAGCTCCAAAAATTTCGCAGCGATTTTTCGAGGCAATTTCGAATTATCAAACATGTGTTATGTTTAGAAGTTATCAAACATGTGTTATGTTTAACCCATGGCAATGGGCGTAGACACCATGTGGCCACCACTATTGGCTTGTACAATTCCGATGTAAGGTAATGTAAAGCACCAAACACATCAATTTTCAATTTCCAAGGATCAGTGTGCACTCATCCGTCACTCTTGCACAAAACTTACCTAGAACTGATGGTCTCTGGATTGTTGACATTGCCAAACCACACATGAACTGCGTAGTATCCTTAGCATCAGCATCTCCAATACATGCCAGTGACTGGTAACCCCCAGTCATCACTTCATATGGTCTGCAACATACATACGATTCATGGCATTGCGGTCCAACAGACATTTGTGATGTTGGCGATTTATTCTCCGATTTATTCATCGATATATCAGTAACGAAGTCCGATTCTACTGAAAGCACGCCAGGTCATTAATTATGGCAAAAGAATATCGCAACTGACGTATTGTTTACAATATCTTTAAGGTTGCATTCAATGCCAATTCACAAGGAATTCAGCATCACCGAAAAATTAGGGGCCCATTTGAACTTTTTGAACATCATAATATTTACCAGTGCTGTTCACAAAGTGGCGTCCGCCAAAAAATCCTAACCCCTAAAGGTCACCTTTCGAGGTCAAACTAACTCAAATCGCGGCAAGCTTCATTTCATTAAACATCTACGGTGGCTCTGAACTTTTCAAGCAATGGAACACTCACCAGTGCAAGAACCTGAGTCCATCAGTCATCAAACTCAAGGGTCACCTTTCAAGGTCAAATTCACACTCAACAGACTATGAACTACATATCACCAAAATATTATCGGTCGATATCAATTCTTTAACAACCACAGAATTCACCGAAGAAGGAGCGCTTGCCAGCACAACAAAACAAACACAAAAAAGAAGAAACTCACTATAACGTTTCAAGGTAAAATGGACTCAAGGCGGAAAGTCAAATATCACAAAAAACTATTTCAACTTTTTAAGCTTCAGAACAGCGTATGAAATACAGCTCGTAACAAAGCCCTGATCTCTCAAATTCACCATAAGGCCGAGTTCAAGGTCAAATGACGGTTGGCTGCATCGTACCAAAATATTACTGGCCAATTTTTTGCTTTCAAGCACCACAACGGTCACTAGCGATCGCACCAACGCCCCTCATAAAATCTCTCAGTTACCGTAAGAGATCAAATTCACACACAAATTGTGGAAAAATCCCTGTCACCAATTCTTTACCTACCTGTTTCAACTTTTCAAACATCAGAATAGTTACGAAGTAATACATTTTTGACGGAGGCTCTTCATACAGTAACGATGATTCTGTTGTCTAGAAATGCAAAATCGGCCGGTAATTTTTGTTACTATGGAATTTCCAGTCATTTCAACCTTTTGCCCGAGAGGGATGACCTCAAAAGGAATGCTTCCCAATTGAAGACATTGTAGCAATGATTACACAGAAACAAGCCTCCTTTCAACTATTGGCCTGCTTTTAAAACGGAAAAACAGCTGTACGCCGCACACCTGTACGTAAATATGCTCCTTATGCTCCTTCAGTAAATACGCTCCTCAATGCGTCGTGGTTTGTTTACGCATCGTACCGAGCAGAAAAATGATTGGGAGCCAATTGACGGCAGTTGTCTGAAAGTGACGCTCACGAATACCACATATGAACGCTTCGACAATTATATTTTTCTTGGCATTTATCAGCGCATACCTTTTGAAGTGGCAGGATTTGAGTGTCATTATTGTGGCGTCAAGAATGCCAACATTGACTTTAAAATACTCTCCCCGAAATACTCACACATTTCCGCAGGCGTGTGGCTCGGGAAACGTTTTTGATTATTATGGTAATTTACTTCTTTAACAGTTGGTAATTTTAAAGTCGTGACGAGACCCCTCAAGTTTAAGCGTTAAGTTGACCATTAAAAGAGGTCTTGAGGATGAGGTTCTTTAAAAGGGCGCTCGGGTGCGGGGTCAAACTGACCCCCCCCCCCCCCGAAAGGTTTTTCGATAATAATTTGCGAATGGCACCGCGGGGAAGCGCCAAATTCTGCATAGATGTAAACAATCGAATAGCGGATCGTTTGACATTTTTTTATGTACCTTGAAAGGTCGCTGACCTATGCCAGGTCAAATTCAGGCCATGGTATCAGCGAAGGCAATTTCTAGGGAATCGTCCAATCTGATACAAGCACGGAGTGTTTGACGAAGCCGTACATCTCTGAAGTGCTTTTTTAGGCACCACAGATATTGAACGAGAAAATTACGTTGACCTAAGGTCAGGTATGACGATCAAACCAATGTCACAACCAACCTGCTCTATTACTCTAGGGCTTCCTGTATGGGATAGTTTGTGGTGCTCATTTCGAATGTATTGACAGCAGGAACCGCATTATACATTTTCCATTGACCTCTCGGTGGTCAGAACAGGTCACTGACATAAGATGACCTTGGTCGACAATTTTTTGTTAGGAACGTTCTGCCTAGCGTAATTTTTATCGCTTATTCAAATGCAAAACTCTGAGCAGTCGTGTATGATTTTGGTCACCATGACCTTCAAAAGGTCAAACAAGATCACTGACCTCAAATGGGATTTTGACCTTTTGCTTGGAAACAGTTGCCTTGGTTCCGGAGGCACTTTGGAGACCAACCTGGAATTTGGCCTTGTTTGACCTTATTTGACCTGGAGGTCATCACCTAGGAAGCTCAGACTTTGACCTAAAGCAGTTCACGTACAGGTCAAGACACACTGTAAATTTGCTGTCTACCTTTCTTAGTTCCAGCTATCTCAGGTGGGGGAGGGGGGGGGGCGAAATTGACCCCCTCCCCCATCCGAGCAAAGGGTATCTATCCGGCCACCCGGGCGCGTGTTAACGGACACTGGGTCCTGCGCTGTTGAGTAATCTAATGCTGAACAAGCTTAAATCTGCCGGCAGATTTCAGTGACTTGGAGCTCCCCGTCCTGTAAGTGCGTATATGGTCTTGCAACGTGACCTTAGGTTTTAAGAACTTATCTTGCAGAATAGTGCAACCCTCAAGTAAAAGCACGTAGAAATCCACATACACAAATTTACCATCAAATTCTAGATTTTCAAGCATCAGAATATGCTCCAGAGCAGGAAAACGCACCCGTCAAACAAATGGCAGTTTCGATGTTCCTTTCTCTTATTTGATCACCTGACGTGTTTTCAGCGAAATGAGAGCCTGTCGCTGAAGAAATAGCTAAATAAAATGCCGCCTGCACGGACATGTCCGTGAAGGCGGCAAGTCCGGACACGGCGCCTTCACGGACATGTCCGGCAGGCGCACATTGCTTCCCATCCAGGAATCGGGTTTTTGCAATTCTGTTGAAATCGTGGTTTCCACCAACATCTAATCATCATTGCCATTTTCAATCACAGTCACTCACTCTGCCAATCACTCATTGCCTCTTTAAAAAACAACACAAAGAGCAGTAAGATCTTTACTCACTTCAAGACTTCCTGGCTTTTGAATCCTGGAAAGTCATATGGTGGCGAAGGTGGACAAACATAAATGTGTGTTGCTCCATGAGCACTTAGGCGGCAGGCAGCACCACTTCTCCTGTCTCCTGTGGAAGTCTCCTGTGGAAAGTAACCATTTAAAGACTAATGGGACAGCAATGAACATGTGGTCAGCCAACCAACCATGCCTCACTTCACATACAATGCATTTCTTATTATAATCCTTCCTTCAGAAATCCTGCTTGGTGCAATGCTAGAATATTTAAAAGTACATTATGAGCATGGCACGTTTCGCATTTCATGTCTCATATCTGTTGGTCTGCAACATCTGTCCTTGTACATCATACATCCTTGGAAATTTGCTGACAAACATCAGCGTGCCGGAGGAGAATGGTGAGTAAGAAGACATAAAGAACCAATATTTCATAGTTCAAATGATCATCACTCACATAACAGTATAAAGTATTCCACACAAAATAACTAGCACAAAAGAGCAACACACCTTTACACACATGGATGCTGGCAAGGGTATAAGCACCACTGAGCATCTCTTGATGCCATTGGTGACCCTATGTTTGCCTGCATGCTGGGCATGCCTCTTCAAGTGTGACTTGCTCAGGTCTTCAGAGCTGGCCATTCCCTTGAATTCTTGTTGATCAGTGCCCATCTCTGAAACTTTTCAACCATGGCTGCATCAATCAGACCATTTGTAACTGACCTCTGCCCATTCTACTATGCTTGATTGACAGTAGGCATGCCCATATGCACATCCACGCACATGAGATGCCAGGCAAGAATTATCTTTTACTGTTAAGTTGAACCAATATGATTGGCCCAAACTATATTTTACAAATCTCATCCTATACACCTAATGGCTAAATTGATGGGATATAAGCATGAGCACCAGGGCACGAGGAAGCATGATCCCATTCTACATGGTGTCAAGCTGAGGAAAAGGGAACTACATGAAACATACACTGATAATGGCTGCTGCAAAGTCCTTGAGCACTTGATCATTTCTGTGGGAACAATGTCAAGCACTTTCTTCATGTTATTACACTCCTGACTTGAGGTTCACCTGCCTGTAGACACTGCCTCTCCATATGGCTCTACTGCCCTGGCCTCTCCCTATGCACAATCTGACAATCAGCATTGCACCGAGTGGTCACAAACCCCACATATCTAATCGCCTCAGGTTTTACAAATAAACCAGACAGGCCAAATGCCTGCATTCTGGGTCAAATGGCAATACATTGGCGCCAACAAATTATGTGCGGAGACCTCTCAGGCGCTATGTTTCAGGTCACAATTCATTACATTCTGCGCATTGTACCTAATGTATTTATCTCACCGTCAACATTAGAACCTGACGTTGCAAGGACACATAGTACCTTAACTTACGTTCCTACGAAATGCAACGCCATACATCGACATGAACCCGGGAGATTTCCTGGGCATCCTACCTTTAAAAACATGCCGCTTATCAAGGTAATGCAAATCAGGAAGCGATGTCACATCAACGTACTTCCCGGCGAAATCCTGTCGTGACGTCACGGGAATACACCTTTGACGCGAGGGACGGCTGCACGCGTGGTGACGGACATGAGCAACTGTATGCATAGTCATCACGTTTGGAGGGTTGAATAAGTTTAAGATCAATGATAATATCGATAAATGAACACACTTCGTAAATGTTTTATTTTGAAGGTAATTTAAGAGCGGAGACGGTAACATAACACCCAGCAAGCAAGCTATTCGAGGTCAATCCGTCGCGTTTGAACCCCATGAAACACCCGGCGAAAGAACTCAATCATATCTTAGGAAGCACCAGACGGACTGAAAACTACACCCACAGATCACCACTTTTTGCATGAAGGCTGTCGCTATCCGCGGAATTTACCGTAATCGAGGCTTTCGAACTTTTGGCAGCAGGCACTTAGACTGGGCTCCGGTCAGGCTGATCGCATGACAGGAAAAAAATGATCGCATCAAGGTAGCCTAGGACGGTGAACCGAAGCTAGCGCGGGTGCATCTCCCACCTGCCTGGCTGAGATATCTTTGAGGAACGGTCGGGTATAACAGCGCCCGAAGCTAAGGTCTCCAAGCCCTTCGGCCGGGGTTCCCGACCAAGACCAATCCACACTGATGCCTGACCACTTATCAGAGTTCGGTTACTCATGGGCTTTCACAGAGCAGGTAAAACATGGCTATTACAAACAAGATACTATGCTACAATGCGCAGCTTCATGTTCAAATCGAGCTGAATCATCAGTCGGCTCATGAGACAGTCGTTTTGTAGGGCTGAGTCGGTCACTAGAAAACAATTCGCTTCGGATGATGAGCTGAACACATGCTTCGTAGGTTTCATGGGTTGAATCAAGAGCCGATCATTTCTGATAACGTTGTGTCAGTGAGTCGTATCTCTCGTATAAAAATGGTAACATGAGGAAATACAGCACATCCGATACAAAACCCTACAGACAGTTTTAAATTGTAAAAAGAGCGGCATGCAGCATGTCTTAGAAGGGTTTTTGACAAACTTACCTGCAAGTTTGCTAATGCAATGCTAAGCAGCAATCACAGTATTGTTGATCCGGAACTAAACTGCTTGCCATATTTTAGCCACGAACCAAAGACATGGGCATGAAAGTTATAGATATACAAACATTTATACGCACATATATATATATATATATATATATATATATATATATATATATATACATGCATAATTAAATCAGTCGGGATTCGGACCTAATAGACGTATTGAATTGATACTAAAAGCAAAAGCTGTTTTCTTTGCCACCGTTTCACTCTTTTACAAGGTCGCAGCACGCGTGAATTTGGCTACACCACTGCTCCGTAGATCATGCACATTTACGTTCAATGATGGTTATCAGGCGCCTCACATAACGTGTCAGAGATCACTTAACGACGTTTGCCAGAATGACTGGCATTTCCGCTAGGGTAGCGATTCACGCTTCTACAAGTGCTTCAGAACATTGACGAAGTCTTCACATCTGCATCACTGCTAGATGTGCCGCAGGTGAAACACTGGATGCATCACAGCTATACCGTGATTTATTTTGCCACCTTGCTGTCACAGGTCACCAACAGAAACCAAATAACCAAAACTCACTGTGAGTGCACTCATGTCGTTTCAGCCTGTCTCATTTAGTAATCGATCACTTACGCTGTGCAATGGCAGCAGAAACGATACTGCAAGATCAGATTTCTGACACGTCGTATGTTTCATTTCATGGACACGGTCACCGCATTTCGACCAAGGCATGGAGGTGTTTGCGCTCTGGTCACCAAATCGGATTTCATTTCTTTGCCTGTCGCGTATCGCCAAATATTGCAAAGCGCTGTTTAGAAAAGTGACGCAAAGATCATAGAACATCACAAACATCATTTACCATGCAAGACTACGACCCGTAGCTGCTAGCTCGGTGGAAACGGATAAGTGATTTTGCTGGCTGCGAACTTTCATCATGGCTTCTGCAACTTGTAAATTACACCAGTCTTATATCTCGTCTAATAATAAGTTGCTGAACATCAAACTCGGAAAAGGAAGGTAACTTAGTTATTCTGAAACCCAGTCTTAATATCGTCTCCGCCAAAAACGACACACACACCGGGAAGTTGTCATTTTGGGTCCGTACTACAGACCGCTCCGCGGATAACTGAATACCCCTTCATACACCAGCCAAGGGATACTAGATTTTGCCTTAAGGTAGTGGCAGCTCCAGGCTGAGAAAACAGATGGTTAATCCAATGAAGAAACTATCGGTAGAGCTAAGACCTAGTTTCAAGATCATTCAAACCACTTCAAACCTGTGCTCTTTTAAGACTTTAAATCCGTTCGATCTCGCGTTTGGCGCACGCGATCTATGTAGACTGATTTGCACTGCTTAATTCGAAGCCGGTCAGAGATGTATGCCGCTATAGAAACGACACCTATTTCCCCTCCTCAATGGCCATATCATGGTCAGTGTCAAACAAAATATAACAGTGACTTAGATGTGGCTGCAGTACATCGGCACGCATCGTCACATCAACGGATATCAATCATAGTATCAACGAACACTGCTAAGAATTCATACCTGAGGTGCTAGATGACAAGCCATTAGCTGCTTTAAGTGGATCCTCATTTGAAGTGGACGATACCGACGGATCAGGCTTAATATCGCGAGAAGCGTCTGAAAAACAGCATTACGGATGACCACAAATTACCATGTTTGTCAGATGTTTTACAGTCATTTCAGTCGGCTTGGGGGAACGACAGACTGCCTCTGTTTTCATGACGAACGCAGGCGAACAACGGATTACCAACACAGTTGTAGTGGACCGACAGCGTACGACCCCAAAACGAGATAGTGGTCATCCCTGGCGAAGTTGTGTTCGGCAAACGAAAATAGCGTGTAGCTCTCGTTTGCGGTGTTGCTGATGGCGAACCATACGACCACTTTTGGTCACTGGATCTGAATTCGTACCCATTGCTCCAGCCGAGCCACCGACGGCGCTGAAGATATCCACTCTTGAATACGGCAAAGACAGGAAATCGAGCATGGAATCAGGCCTTCCATCAGCTTTAACATCAGGACCCGTAGAATTGTTACGAGTGTGTGGCTGTTAAAATGGTCGTCAAGCCAACAGTTCTATTAATGGGATAGTTCGACATTCGTGTGTCGTATGAACTGCAACAGCCATTTTGAACAGCCTTCGGTGCATTTCAAAGCCCTGCCCTTCTTTAGACCTAAAACCCTCTAGTTTCTGAGCTACAGGTCCACGAATATGAAGATAGTACTTCAAAGACACCGTCGCATTCACGACGTCATAATGGCGTCATTCAAATCCTTTGATTCTATATTTCATGCGGCGATCCGGGCCAAGAAAATGTCGTTGTTGAGTCGTTTTATATCTGGCATTTAGAACCACGATTTCAGGATAAAACGGCCAAAAATTCGCTTTTAGTCATTGTTGTGTAATATCTGATGACGGAAACACGCAATGACGTAATGAGAAGAACATTTACTAAACAGAGAAATTGTGTGGTCTGGAGCAGTCTTTTCTACTTAAAGGTATGTCAGCAGCTATAAGTGGGTTTATTTTATCTTGTCTGCTGCTTGGTTCAATGTCTTCAGATGTGAAATATTCCCTTCAGCCCACATAGAGAAGATAAGTACATCGCTATTTACATATCTTGAAGGGAGATGGACATGCATTGTTCTTAGTCATGTTATGCAGTAACCCACATCTGGCAACTGTCGCACATAAATGCTGAAGCTTCGACGCACACAAACAGCAGGTTAAAAACGCATTTGATAGGCAAACTAATTCCTGTCTTCCGCAGCACTTCGTTCGCAGGAAAGTTCACCTCACCCCGTTCGACCTGTCATCGGTACGATTGTCAGTTGAAATGCGTGACGTCATGTGCGCTCAGAGAGCGTTCGATGTGTGGGCTGACGGGAAAGTTTTTAAACTTTGCTTTCCGTTCTTCCCTTACCTTTTGCTTCAGACTACACACTAACTCGCTGTGACTGGTGCTGGGAAACGTATTGACGACCGATCGAAGGCGGCCCATTCCTAGAATAAGGCCATGGAAGAGAATAATTTGCACATACGTGATCAAACGTGAAATTCTTCCAGCTGTCCCATAACACGCCTTCAAGTCCTGAGACATTCGCTTGCTGTATAAGTCCATTCTTACAAAAACGAATTTTAAGGGCGAGGTTTGCTTCCCTGAAAGTTGAAAACATGGACACTCACTTGCTTTGCGTTGATCTGCCATGTGCTGCGATGAAGTGGTAACAGATCTGCCATGTGCTGCGATGAAGTGGTAACAGATCTGCCATGTGCTGCGATGAAGTGGTAACAGACCGACGCTGAAGAGGGAGGCGCGGAAGGAGGGATATCTGCCGTCCCTCCAGTAAAAACGAACACCAGAAGGGCTGCGCTGCTGAGCAGAGGTGATGGGACAAGTAGTTTTGTCAGCATGTAGCAAGCCATCGTAGTGTCAACTGTGACTGCTGATTAGAATAGGGGCATGGGGATCAGGTCATGTACTTGCGTCCGAGTGTTTGTAACGTTTTGAATGAAGAAATGGTATCGCCGCCGTAGGCATTGATGAAATATTGCTAGTGCTTTAATCATGAAGAAATAACTCCGCCTTATAAAGAACACACTGGTTTTTAACTGTTATGGAAACGTAGGCCTTGCTCTCCGTTGCTGGTAAATTGAAACAACCACCTGTTAAAACATTATCGAAGGGAAATTTCAAACAGGAAATGAATGGAGGGGAGCTATGGCCGTAACAAGTTCAGAGTCAAGTTCTTAATTCTGTCCATGTTCATTGAATGTATTTCAAATGTAATAGCACATTAAGCCAAAGAGGTATTTTGATCTCTCCAGGCACTAAGGTGGTTCAATACAAGAATAAAAGTGATTATATTGGATTTCTAGATGGTGGGACACCTAGAAATATGCACCGCATGAATTAATGCATCTTCGAAATACGTATCGCCAAAAATATGCACCCTCACTCATTCCCTTCTTCCTAGTATGTTCCATGTCGTATACCTATCGTATAAAAACCTCACATTCAGCCACCATGTCCGTCAATCGATAGAGTACACAAAACTCCACGTTGAAAAAGCGAATACTGGTTGATCCGTCGGGATGGACTTGATTTGCTAGTGTCACGCCACCAAGGTAACGGACCGACGCCCGCCGTCGTTACGGTAATTATTACATGTTGACGGTAAGATGGTGAAATAACACGAACATATTTTTCCTTCATGATGGTAGGTGATGTTGGATGTCTTAAAAGCGTCCGTCAACGTGCAATTGAAGCTTGCAGCGTCAGGTGCCAACGTGGATGACGACCATAAACCGGTCATTTCAGGGGCATCTTATCATCTTACCTCAAAACATCATAATTCCAATGACGGCAGACGTCCGCCAGACGTCGGTCTGTCACACTGGAGGCGCGATAATGACGCATCAAAACTATCCGATGGACCACCAAGCGTTTGCTTTTTTAAGGTGGAGCCTATGCTGGAACCTGCGCGCTTGCCTCGCCCTTTACGCGATAGCCATGTAGGGGAGGGTCTAGAAAGGGTGGCCATGGGGTCATGCCTATGGCCTCATAGCCACTATAGATTGGGCCCCAAAGGAACCTGTAGGTTCCAAATTGGCCCCATAGTCTAACGAACAGGTGATTTTTTTTTACAACACAATATGCAACAAAATTGGACATTTTTGGATTTCCAGGCCACCAAGAACAGCTGCAAACGAAAGTGAGCGGCCCACGAGAAGGTGAGAAAAATATCCAGCGATTGAAAATAATGTCAATTGGGAATGTTATGCCTTACATTACACCGTTCAGGGGCCCCATGCTATTTCCGAGAGACGTTTATGCCCACTTGCAGGGTCATTCCGATCGTTAAAGAGCCTTCCGTGTTGCCCTTGATTTCTTTGCGTTAACTCGGAGGGCACTGAACTGTTGCTGTGCACTCCCTGCTAGCGTGCCGGGACGCTCCTGTCAATCCGAGGTCTTCTGCGGATTCTTCCCATTCGCCAGAGTTTTTGTGGGCTATAGCCGGGTCCCCATATGCTAACCTTCCGGGGTATTCTCGGCTACTCGGGTGGCCTTTAGGTTGGTCTCGGTTCACCTACCGATTCATTCGCGATATGCTCATGAGCCCTCTGCAGTAGTTTAGAACGCTTCCAATTCTATGTGGCTTACTTAGAGCCCCGCGGTCTTGCCGGAGGCTCACCTGTTGACCCGCTTATGCACACTCGGTCGTACAGGGCCCTCCAAATTGAGTCTTGTGTACTGGTATTTGGTATTTGAATGGAGAGAGCTTCACACTTGTCGGGTCCGATCTATTAACCTACTCCGGCACACTGCATTGCTTGGGGGCCGTGAACATTGGGTATTTTCATGTAGCGCCTTACGCTCTTGTCGGGGCTGATACCCTGCTCAGGCACACTTCATCGTTTAGGAGGCCCTCCACACGAGATCGTGGTACACTTTTTTACATGGGGACCCCACGCTCTCGTCGGAGGCTTATCTGATAATCTGATCGAGCACATGTGATCGTTGGGGGGCACTCTACATTGGGTTTTCGGCACGTTCTATCTCAATGGGGGCCTACGCACTTGTCGGAGTCACTCTCTGTTCGCCTTACTGTTCGGCCACGCTGGATTATTCGGGGCCCTCCATATCGGGTATTGGTGTTTAAATTTAGAGCCCTAAGCTCCTATCGCGGCCATATGATAACGTGCTCGGGTATACTCCATCTTTCGGAAACGCTCTGCACTGGGTTTCAGGTATTCCTTAATTGAATGGGGGGGGGGGGGGGGGGGGGGGGCACTACGGTCTTGTCGGGCCCTTTCTGATAAGCTACTCGGGTGCATCCCATCGTTCGGGGGCCATTTATATTGAGTCTTGAGTGCCTCCTATTTGAATGGAGGGCCCTACGCTCTTGTTTGAAACCGTGTCTTACAACCTGCTCGGACACAATCAGTCGGGAGCCCTCTACACTGGGTTTTGGATACTTCCCATTGGAATGGAAGCCCCTACGCTTTTGATTGGGACCGTATATAAAAACCTGCTCGGGTACTGGCCCTGCGCTCTTGTCGGTCGCGTCAGTCTCTTACCTGCTCGGCACACTTAATCATTCGGGGCTCTCCATGCCGCGTTTTGCTTACTTCTTAGTTGAATGGATAGCCCGACGCTCTTGGCGAGCCCAATCTAGTAAGCTGCTCGGGCCGGTGGTGGTTACAGACGGGAAAGAGGAAGGCACAGGACCATGCCCCCCGTGGACAATGTCAAGGGGTCCTATAGGCTACAAAGGGGCCCCACAACCGGCCGGACGGACCAAGTTTTCTAATAAAACACGTAACAAAATTGGACGTATTTGGGCCTACGGACGACCAAGAACGGTTGCTGTCAACACAAGAGTTTATAAGTAGAGTTATTCGTGCTGATTTAAGGGCGTTGCTTGGGGGAAGATTTTGCGTTCATTACGCCGTCAAGACATTCTGGTGCTGCCCAGACCTTATTTGTCCACTTACGGGGCCAATCTGATCGCTAAGGATCTTTCCACGTCGCCCTCGATCGCTTTGCATTTTCTCGTAGGGCCCAATGCCGTTGTTGGGACGCTACCTGCTCCCATGGCTGGGCACTCTTGAT